GGAGGGACGTTAATTGGTCAGTTCCGGCACACCGGGTTTTCCGTCACACAGGGAGGGACTTTAGACGTCTCTATCTACAGCGAAGCTCCTTGCTTCTGTTAGACTCAACTGTCTCTAATTGATAACATGCTTCAAACTAACAATATGTTCCGTGATAGCTTTTATGTCCCCCTCCTTCGCTGGTATGACATGCCCTACGTCAAATTCTAGATGTGTACGCCCAGCACCTGTAAAACACGAAACTAGCCGCCTCTGGATCTCCAAGCTTTTATCTCTCAGCCCATGGATGTGCAAGGTCGCTATGTCGATAACATGGTCTTTGTAAGCTGGGTCGGTTGCGCGTGGAAACTCTAGTGGCGGATAAGCGCTGTGGATGAAGACTCCGAATTTGAATTGTGATTGCATCATCCCAAGACCCTCTTGCGTAGATCCATCTTCTTGTGCGAGCTGGAAGCTTTGATGCTTCAAGAGGCCTGATGCTACTCTCCCTCCTTGAGAGAACCCCATCACTCCCACCCAGAGTTCAGAGGAGATTGAAGGCGTCAATTTTGCCAGGGCTGAATACACACCTGCTGATCTGTCTGACCCAGAGTGGTCGTATGCATTTTGATCATACGCGTCTTCGTGTTCTTTGGTCCATCGGTAGAACGGACCGCACCCTTCGAACGTAGGTAGAATCCCTGGACCAGGACCACACTCGTACGGCCCATCAATATATACGAATTCGAAGTGATCTTCTAGGTGGTAGCGAAGGTGATATGTTTGGGCTTTGAATATCTCTGCAGAGCTTCCAAGGCCGTGGAGGCATAGAATCTGAGGCTTCCTTTCTAGAATCATAACAGATGAGTTCTTGAGCGCCGAGTATTGTTGTAGCGCGAGCCCAACAGGGACTTCCTAGGACGTAGGCGAATCTGGATCCTGTAACTGCGCTGCTGTAAGCGCGGAGAGTACGTTTTTTTGCTTCAAGTCAGGTCTCAATGGATTTGTGCTTGTCGGGGATTGGATGTTCTGTGTTGCTCTCGTTAGAGCAGTTGGCGATGGTTGGTGCCTTGCTTACTCTAATCGAGTTAACTGTGCGAACTAACGTTAGGCTCCCAAAGAACGATTGACCAGGAGCTTTTGCCGGCGCTGGTTGTGCCTGTCCAGACTAGAGCCTACCATTCTTATTTGGTTTCAAACAGATCGCTGCTAATAGTTGAAACTGAAAGCGAGCGAGATACAATCGACACTACTACAAAGGTGCCGGACCCCAAACAACCCGCACGTTTCTCGCATACTCTTGCGTCCTTCTGCGAAGCTTGTTGCTAGGCCCCCATTTCGGGAAGTTCAAGGCGGGTAGAATCTCGATCAGCAATCTAAGCTTCGAACGTCCCGCTGGCAGGATAGTCGGTGTATCCAACCATGAACTACTTATTGTTTACGGCAGACGGCGAAATGTGATTTCCCTTTGAGCTCGAAACCTACCATCATGTCTCTTGTACAAGTTCCGGCAACAACCTGGTCCAGCGAGAAAATGGCTCTCGCACTTGTCCCTTGTCTGTTTGCGGTGGTACTACTGGTACGTGTTCCGACTGACTTATGAAAAGCCCGATCTGAAGAGAACCAAGGCAACCATCTCGTTCAAGAGGGCCTACCTCCACCGCGCTAGTGAATTCCCGGGGCCTTGGCTTTGCCAATGTTCGAGTATTATCGCGCAATACCATGCATTGCGTGGTGATTTGCCTCGTTATCTCCATCTTCTTCATGAGAAATACGGTATGATCATTAGGAGAATCTGAAATGGAGGCTGTAATCTGACTGGGAATCGCCCAATTCAGGAGATTTTGTGAGATACGCTCCCAATCATGTTTCGATCAGACACTGCGATGTTTGGGAAGGTAAGAGATCGACGCCAAATGACCCATAGCATTTGTTCTAATGGTCGCTTAGATGTTTACGGCTTCCAGAGGAATGTATCAAAATACGATACAACATATTCGCCTTTTCGACTTGCCCCTGACTTCACCAGCACATGGAACACTTCGAACGTCGATGTGCACAAGTCCAGGCGCAAGTTGCTGAACAAGCTGTTCTCTGAACAACATCTTGACGACTATGGTACATTAATTACTGTGCAGGTTGACGAGTTTCTGCGACAAATGCTCGAAGCATCGCCCAAGGATGAAAATGGGATGGCTGGTCCCATCAACTTTGCATACAAGTCGGATGTCGTGGCTAGAGAGATCATAACCAGTCTAGTGAGCGGGCAGACGTACGGATTCCAAAGCGGAGACACGAAATCAGCTAGCCTTTTAGCCGATATTAGCAAATTTGAGCGCAAACTTTACCTGGTACAGTACAATATGAGAGCACAAACGCTGAATGTCCAATGACTGACATGCACTAGTTAGGCTTTGCCCCTTGGCTCAAGATGTTGCCAAGCTTTAAACCAACCCCTGCACTCGCGCAATGGATTGTCCAGTCTTCTAAGCAGGGGCTTGCCTCCGAGTCAAAGAACACATTGGTCGCCAAGATGCTTGCTGCTCGAGATGAAGACAAGGATGCAGAGTTCAGTCGTAACGATGTTATCGCAGATGCGCGTTTTTTTCTTCTCGGGGGTGAGTCTGAATTGCATGTAATGAAATGGAAAAATATTCACGTGTCTAGGCTCGGTCACCTCCTCTTCGGCACTCTCGGCAACTCTCTTCTTCCTTCTTCATCATCCAGTTGAGATGCAAGAGCTATATGACGAGCTGAGAGAAACATTCCCTTTGTACGAGGATATCAAGGCAGATGCGCAATTGATGAGATGCAAGCGGCTACGTGCAGTTTTCGAGGAATCCATGCGCTTGGCGCCACCCGTACCCACACTACTTCCACGATTAGTAGGACCTGGAGGAATCATAGCTTGTGGAAGATATATCCCCGAAGGGGTAGTAGTTGGTGCACCGTGCTGGGCAATCTCACGCGACAAGAGATACTTCGAGAAAGCACATGTTTTCAAGCCTGATCGCTGGCTTGCAGATAGCTCCGACCCAGTTGCCCTAGAAAAGGTGTTGTTGGCCACCAGGGCATCTCAGCCTTTTTCTTACGGGCCGAGGGCCTGTCCTGGCAGGGCTCTTGCCTTTCGTGAGAATGGTCTACTTCTGGCCAAGCTGGTATATGCCTTTGAGATGGAGCCAGTTCGAGACAAGTCCATAGTGGAAGAATCGCTGACGGGGATTTATGACGGCCTTGTTTTTAACCAGCTGGATACTGTTGGCGCACACGAAGTTGAACTGATGGTACGATATAGATTGAGGCTAGACGGGAAGACGGAGAAACGTGTTTCGGGGAATTAACATGTAGGCTTGTTCAACCATGTAACTCTTCCCCTCTCCTTAGCGAGAAGCCCGGTGTGCCGAGAACCTGGGATATCTTCCAGCTTCTCAAAACACTGAACTGATGCTGACAATACACTCCCATGCACTTGCAGCTTCCGCTTTGCACACACGTTTGTTTGTCGTCCCGCACGGGGCATCGATTTTTCTAGAAGACACATGCTCTAAAAAGGCTTAGACTCTGTAAATATCTCGATTCCATTGGTCTGAGTATCGAGCGGCGGGTTGACTCATAGCAATGCTAGTAAAAACTAGCACTATTCAGGTAAGGCCAACACTAAACGAGAAGGGCTGGGCATGGGACCAAGAGTCGCCTGCTCACAGAAACCGGAAACTGCAAGTGCATGGGAGTGTACGAAAAGCTGATTGCCATGTCAGAAAAAGCAAAATCCTCTCTTTGTGCTTAGTTGAAGGGGATGTTGTGTAACCTCCCTCCCTACGCGGCGAACAACCCGGTGGGCCGAACCCAGCCAATGAAAGTGCACGGATAACCGATATCTCGAACTGACACAGTGTCTCATTGGCTGGGTTCGGCCCACCGGGTTATTCGCCGCCCAGGGAAGGAGGTTACGACAGTCCGCGATCCCTGCGATCTCATTGGCTGTTCTCGACATACAGGGTTTCTCGCCACATAAGGTGGGACACTACGTTGTTACACCTGAAGTCCATCGCTGTGTGGCGCAAATCCCGGTGTACCGCAAGCTGATTGGCAAGTTGCGGTACACCGGGATTTGCGCTACATAAAGATGGACGTTGAAGCATTTATGTCAATAGTAGCCTTCATGTTAGAAACTTGATAGTGAGAACCCTCCGCTCACCCAGTGTCGTGGACGGTGAATCTCTTCGTAACGGTAGGAATTGACGACCATTCGCTTATTTGTATTGCACAGAAGAATTCATCCGTATCAGGATCAGAGCGATGTGAGTTTTCGGGACGTTTAGAGACGACTGAACGGCCCGAATGAATCTATGTGTATTCACATTCGTAGGTTAGAGCTGAGTGTCTGAAGTTATAATACGCTTAGCTCCAGACCTGAAGTAATTCTGTCTGCCTACTGATGCAGCAAGTCCTCAACTCCAAGTTCATATCCAAGATCTTCACTCTCCTGCTCCACTACAAGGTCCGGATTCGTTTTGCCGAGCCCGAGCATTCGACATGAACGGAGAGAGCCGTGACAACGGGCGGCGTGATGGGAAAGGACAGCCTGTGGTCCCCGCGGAGCCAATTGCAATCGTAGGAACGGCAATGAGGCTCCCAGGCGATGCAACAAATCCTAGCAAGCTATGGCAGCTGCTTCGAAACCCGCCATCTGACCTTTCACGTCGACCACCCTCCGAGCGCTTTAGCTCGGCCGGATTTTTCCATGAGGATCCAGAACATCATGGGACAAGCAACAGTGAGCAATCTTACTTTTTAAGGGAGGACATTCGAGCCTTCGATGCCGCATTCTTCAGCATTGCGCCTCGCGAAGCCGAAGCCATCGACCCCCAACATCGGCTCTTGCTGGAAGTTGTTTACGAGGCCCTTGAAGCTGCCGGTATTCCCCTGGAGAAGACTCAGGGCAGCGATACGGCCGTTTATGTGGGTCAAATGTCCAATGATTACTGGGACCATCTGCTTCGCGATCTCGACTCGATTCCAAAGTACATGGCCACTGGCACAGCCCGAAGTGTTACTGCCAATCGCCTATCATACTTTTTCGATTGGCATGGTCCGTCTATGACTATCGACACAGCCTGTTCAAGTAGTATGGTAGCACTCCACGAAGCTGTTCAGGTGCTCAGATCTGGACGCGCGGGCATGGCTGTTGCAGCAGGCTGCCATTTAGTCTTAGGCCCCGAAAGCTACGTGATTGAGTCGAAGCTTCGCATGATATCTCCCACCGGAACCTGCAAGATGTGGGATGCTGGCGCTGATGGATATACGAGAGCTGAAGGATGTGCAGCGTTGATTTTGAAAACCCTCAGCAGTGCGCTGCGCGACGGAGATCCCATAGCTGCTCTTATCAGAGAGACGGGCGTCAACCAGGACGGTCGCACCAGGGGGATCACAATGCCTAGCGCCGAGGCACAGGCGGCGCTGATCCGGGAGACGTATTTGCGCACTGGGCTTGATCCGACAAATCCGAAAGACCAGCCTCAATTTTTTGAAGCTCACGGCACAGGTACTCAGGCGGGAGACCCGATCGAGGCAGAGGCTATCCACCTAGCCTTTTTCAACGATTGCGTTGCTCACAAAGGAACTCGTGAGAGAAAGGAACATGAGAAACTTCTTGTTGGCTCCATAAAAACCGTTGTGGGACATCTTGAGGCAACGGCAGGGCTAGCTGGCATTCTCAAGGGAATTGCTGCAATGAATCACAGAATGGTACCCCCGAACTTATGGTTTCGAACTCTCAACCAGAGGATCGCCCCCTTCTATAGAGACTTCAGAGTTCCTACAGTCCTTGAAGAATGGCCCATGACCGGCTTTGATGGCACCCTTCGTTGTTCTGTAAACTCCTTTGGCTTCGGGGGCACCAATGCACACACGATCCTAGAGAGCTACGAGCCCCAGTTGGTAACTGCAACGAAAATGCCTCGAGAAATATCCTTTATTACACCTTTGACATTTTCTGCAGCATCCGCAGCTTCATTGGTTGCCGTGGTAGATAGTTATCGAAGACACCTGGCTTCGAAGCAAGACATAAGTTTAGCCGACCTGGCCTTCACGTTGCAGTCCCGGAGAAGTGCACTCCCGTATCGTATAGCATTTTCAGGGACAGACATTACATCGTTGATCAAGCAGATGTCAGAAAGTGTCGACAGCGTCAAGGGCACCGCAAATGTCAGCATTGGCACGCTCAATCAACAGGAAAAGCTAGAGGGCGGCTCGCCAAAACTCCTCGGAGTATTCACCGGACAGGGTGCACAATGGCCAGGAATGGGGAGAGAGTTACTCAAGTCCTCGAAGGTGTTTTCAGATGCCATCATCAAAATGGAAGATTCACTGGCAACTCTTCCAGATCCCCCATCGTGGTCTCTTGTCGATCAATTCAAAGCAAAGGCATCACCCTCTTCTGAAGAAGCGACCGTTGCTCAGCCCGTGTCGCTTGCTCTCCAGATTGGTCTGGTGGACCTCTTGAGAGCCAGCGGGGTCGAGTTCGACTCGGTCGTGGCGCATTCTTCAGGCGAAATTGCAGCTGCCTATACCACAGGGCTCATCAGCGCCCACGATGCAATCCGAATCGCCTACTATCGTGGCAAGTACTCGGCTTTGGCTACTGAAGGCGGAGGTATGATGGCGGTCGGCATGTCTTTCGCCGAGGCTAAGGCTTTCTGTAATCAGGAACAGCTTAGAGACAGAGTGACCGCCGCAGCCAGCAACTCACCAAAGAGCACTACTCTTTCAGGCAGGCTTAGTGCACTCAAGGAGGCTGCCTCTTTGCTTGGAAACACTTTTCACAGATTCCTCAAGGTGGACAAGGCTTATCACTCCGATGCTATGCTACCTTGCTGTAAGCCATTTCAAGCTATACTAGAGAAATGTGACATTAAAGTGCACAAGCCCAACGACGTGCTGTGGGTATCGTCTGTTCGAGAAGGCCAGCAACCTCGGTCATTTGCAGATCTGCTTAGTGGGCCATATTGGGTAGAGACATTACACAAACCAGTGTTGTTCTCACAAGCCCTAACTCGGGTGTTGCAGATGCGTAGCTTCGACGCAGCGTTGGAAATTGGACCACATCCTGCCCTCAGGGGCCCGTCTCTGCAGACACACGCAGATATCTCGCTCGAAGACGGCACAGTGCTCCTGTACAAAGGTGTTTTAGAGCGTTTCAAGCATGATGGCGAGGCTTTCTCGTCATGTCTGGGATTTCTATGGCAGCATTTTGGATGGGCTCATTTTGAGGCTTACAGGTCAACTTCTCTATCCACAGACGTCCCCAGGGTGCTAGATCAGCTCCCAACTTACCCTTGGAACCATTCGAGCCTATACTGGACAGAGTCAAACAACTCCTATCGCTTTCGGTATAGAGAGGCGTACCACCCACTGTTGGGATTCCGCTCCGTCGATAGTTATGCGATGGAACTGCGATGGAAAAACGTTTGGAGCCTAAGAGAAATGCCATGGCTAAAGGGTCACGTCGTGCAAGGGCAGGCCGTTGTCCCAGGTGTCTCGTACGTAACGCTCGCATTGGAAGCTGCGGCAGCCCTTGGACGAGAAGGCCAAGAAACTACTAGGATTGAGCTCCACGACATCAATATTCACCGTGCCATCATCATGGAAGAGGATGAATATTCAGGAACGAATGTGTTCGTTTCTGTTTCCAGGCAAAATCCAGACGCGTCTTGCACTCGAGCTACTTTTAACATCTACGCATCCACCAACCATGAAAAGGAGCCATTTCACGTTTGCTCCGGAGACATCCTTCTCAGCCACTTCGCCAAAGACAGTGGAATTCAAGCTCTTGGAGAGTTTGACGTCTCTACAGTCTACAAGGATATGTCTCCTGTTGAGCCGTCGCTATTCTACTCTGAGATGAAAGAAGTTGGCCTTTGTTGGAAAGAGCCGTTCCTCAGCGACTCGATGTATCGATCCCACCACAGGTCTATGCTTTCTGCTACGAGATCGACAGCTGATGCACACGATGGGCAGCTGCTGCTTAGCCCAGTGCTGCTTGATATTGGATTCCAGGGTGCCTTGGTGGGTTTTGCTTCGCCTGGAGACGGTCGGCTGTGGAACCCCTATCTTCCAACTCACATCGACCGTTGCACCTTTGATCTGGAGAATTTGAAGCTGAACAAGCCTTGCTACGACGAAGTCTATTTTTCGAGTGCTGTAATGGGGTCAACATTGCCTGATCTCTCCACCACCGCAACCTTCACCTGCGATGTGTATGGATTCTATGCAATCGACGGTAATCCTTTTGTACAAGTAGAAGGCCTCAAGTTCTCTTGCATGTATCCAGCTCAAGAAACCAACGACCGGGAGATGTTTGCGAACGAGACTTGGATGCCTGCCTCGCCGCTGGACATGGAGCTGCAGCCATATGACGCTCAAAAGCATATGGGTAACTTGGGGGCAGTCGTTGAGAACTTATCCAACTGCAACCCGCGAATGAAGATTTTGCATATCAACGATGGCGAGAGCCTTCTTGTCCCCATACTAGAGTCTCTGCAGGGAGCTTTCGCCAGACTGGATATCGCAGACTCATCACAATCTCCCGCCTTGAGACATGTTGAAGAAGTAAAGGAGTTGTTTCCTAAAGATTCCAAAAGAATTTGGTCATCAGACCTCAACCTGACCAAATTGACCTCTAGTCCCGCCATAGCAGAAAACTCCTATGACTTAATCATCTGCGCGCAGACGATAGAAACCGGAGATGGTAAGTTTAACTCTTCCTACCTTAAATACAGGTACATGTTTGGCAGCAAACTAACCACCAACGAGCTGCAGATGTTGAATCGCGATATTCTAAGCTGCGCAAGCTTTTAAAGTTGGGCGGCAGCATCATCCTGTCAACTAGCCCTGGAACTTCCTGCAACCTGCCCCTCCAAAGGTGCGGCTTCACAGGAGTAGAGTTGGAGTTGTCAGTTGGCCCTGAGTCGCGTTTAATCCTCACAAGAGCAAAAGATGATACGTCCAAAATACTTGAAACCCCACTCGACGATCTTGATGCATGCACAGGCGAAGTGATCGTTATTGGGGGCCACCAACCTGAGATACAAGCCATTGTTGACACCTTCCAGAAAGATGTGGCTGGAAAGCTCAGCAAAATGACGTTAGTGGAGAGCCTATCAGACCTTGAGACTTACGGAATACCTACGGACGCGACCGTTCTCTGCCTGGCTGATCTGCACGATGACACATTGAGAAACCTTGCTGAAGGAACTCTTGGCGGTATGAAACTTTTGTTCGAAACAGCTAGGAGAGTCCTTTGGGTAACGCAAGGTAGGAGGAACCAAAACCCTTTTGCAAGCATGATGGTTGGCCTAGGGCGATGCATCATCTCCGAGTCTCCTTTGCTCAACCTGCAATTCCTCGACATTGAGGATCCGTTGTCTGATCCTATCACCCACAAAACTATTAGCGAGTGCTTCATCAAGCTGATTTCATTGACAACGACAAGCGACTCCAACGTTGTCAGGTCCTGGAAACAAGAACCTGAAATGGTTTTGTCTCAGGGAAAACTTCTCATACCTCGTATCAGGCCTCTACCAGCACTCAACGACCGTTTGAATTGCCAAAACAGAATCATTAAAAAGCCCCTTGTTGCTGGAGATGGAACTTCCGTTGAATTGACACGGTCAGGGGCATTCTATGCTGCTCAAGAATATGATGATTACTCAGCAGGAAGGCGCATTACTATCTCTCATTCTGTTTCCCTTCCCATCGAACTGCCTGGTCAAATGAAAGGGTACCTTGGCTTAGGTACAATGAGCTCTGGGGAAAGGGTAGTCGTCATCTCCCCCAACAACCGAAATATTCAATCCGCAGAAGAGTGCGCCTTTGCAGTTCATTTCCAGCCAAGAGGAAACGAGGCCGATACTCTCGCCTTGATTGCATCGGCCATTTTCATTCGCGTGGCATGGGAACACACATCAGACTACGTGGTTTTGCATCAACCAAGCCAATCGGTGTACAGATTAGGTACACAAATGGCCGAAGATGCAAAATCGAAACTATACTTCAGCGTAAGCGGCCGAAACGACCTCGAAAAGCATGCGAATGTCGTGTCCATACCGAGCATAGCAACTCGACAATCATTGAGAAACTTAATGCCCGGACAAGTCGGTGCCTTTATCCATGTTCCTGGTCTGGCGGGCGCCGGTGACAGGGTGTCTGCTGATCGTATGATAAGAGCAATGTCAACTACCTGCAAGATCTTTCATCTTGCTACAGCAGCCGCTTCAAGTCAAAATGAGAGTATTGACATCCGTCTTTCATTCAATTGGAAGAAAGCGTGTCGAATATTGGTCCAATCTGTGGAGGATGTTGCGAAGTTCGGAAACTCACACATGTTGGCTAAGAACCAACCAGTGAAGTGTATCGGCATCGCAGAGATTTCCGGAACGCCGTTTTCCTACGATGCGGCGTGCATCATCGACTGGACCAAAGATTCAAGAGTTAAGGTCAATATTCAGCCCAAGAATCCAACAAAGCACTTTTCCCCTAACAAAACCTACTTGCTGGTGGGATTGACAGGCGATCTCGGGCGATCCCTTGCACAATGGATGATTCGATGCGGGGCTCAACATATCGTTTTGACTAGTCGCTCGCCCAGAGTTCCTGACTCATGGCTGCAAGCGTGTCGAGAGATTTCCCCCCAAGCTCAAGTACGAGTTTTTAAAATGGACGTTACCGACGAGGCAGATGTTCGGAATGTATGCCATGCTATCTGCAAATCTATGCCCCCGATCGGAGGTGTAGTCAATGCTGCTATGGTAAGCTCTTTTTGTTCCTGCCAAGCAAACCCTTGTTTACTAAGAACGGATAGGTGATGGACGACTGCTTGTTCCACAAGTTACAGTTGGCCTCGTTCAACAGCGTGGTTGAACCAAAGGTGGTTGGCTCGATGATTTTGGACAAAATCTTCCATGATGTGGATTTGGACTTCTTCATCATGTTTTCCAGCATCTCCTGTATCGTTGGCAATCGTGGACAGTCGAGCTACAGTGCTGCAAATCTGTGAGTAGCTTCGTGCTTTTCTAGGACTGCTCAGAATTAACCGTTATATCAGGGCCGAGACTACTATAGCTTCCGGAAGAAGGAACCGCGGACTTTCTGCCTCCACATTAGCGCTTGGTATGGTTGTTGGAGTTGGCTACGTGGCTCGAGCAAACTTGCCAACAGAAGCCATTAAAGACAACGTCCGAATGCAGAACGGCATACCGCTGGGAGAGACAGATGTCCACACAGCTTTCTTCGAGGCGATGCTTCTTGGCAAAAAGTTTTCTCGACTGATCCCAGATTTAATCACGGGGTTAAAGAGTATTGGCTCTGAAGACGTGGAACTGCCTCTTTGGCATGAAAACCCACGATTTTCTCACTTGAGCCTATTGGAAGGCTTAGATGACGTTTCTCTGGACAGCAAAAAGAGCAGTCAAGGAAAGGTCTCGGTTCGTGAGCAGCTGCGACAATCTACAATGCCACAGGAGCCTTTTGAGATTTTAAGTGGATCACTCAAGCAGAAACTAAAAGTCACGCTGAAGATCGACAAACAGGAGATCTCAGACGAGGTTGCTTTGGTGCAAATGGGTATAGACTCTCTTAGTGCCGTGGAGATTCGCTCCTGGTTTGCAAAAGAAGTGGGGGTAGATCTTCCCGTACTCAAGATATTGAACGGAGCTTCTATTCGTGATCTTTGCCTAGAAGCGATTGGTCAGTGGAAAAAGTAAGGAACGTCCCTCCCCGAGTGCTGGTACACCCGTTGTGCTGGTGTTACAGGTAACACAAAGGATTCTCTCCTTGGCGGGGGACGACGAGGTTGAAGACCAACCACGTCTATGTCAGAAGCTAGCGGCCATCGCGGGGCTCAGGGTCACGTGATGTACCATCACGCCAAGGCTGACCCTTCACGGGATGGCAGGGCGCCTAGGGATGGCAGGTAAAGATTGCAATGGGTATAAAGGATGGACGGGTTTCTCGTCACATAGGGACAGACGTTACACTCGTTGTGGTCGACTCAAATAGTTCGTCTCTTACACAGATTTTCAGCTAGTTATTCTATCATTTATAGAATCGGTATTGTTTACTTGTTGGTTAACATCGATAACTATTCTCCACCTGAACCTTCCACACGATACCTCACGGACTACCGCTTTAGTCTACCTCGCCTTAGTACGGACCAAGCCTAGAGAAGTATAGCCAGACCCTGTGTAACACTGGGACGAATGGCGAGGGTATTTGATCTTTGGTAAAGTCCCTCCCTGTGTGACGGAAAACCCTGTGGGCCGGAAAAAACCGATGAGAGGTCAGGGATAGCATCTTTCTCGACACGGTGCTTTGTCTCATTGGCTGTTTCCGGCACACCGGGTTTTCCGTCACACAGGGAGGGACTTTACATTGCGTTTGATCAACAATAGGCTAGCTTGTCTGTCGACTTCGTTGTTTGTTGACTGCAGCTTCCTAGCTGGAACAAGGTGAAAGCGCCGAACAAAGGCCCTTTTGAGTACACTCATGCAGCTCGGTAAGTTAATGGTAGAACCAGACTCTTTCTCTTTTCGTGGTATCGTCTAGCATTTCTCTAGTAGCGCCCCTCTTCCGACGCTCTTTCCGACGTTCTCTTGTGTGTCGTTTTAACTTTCCGGAACACCTTTTCTAGTCTCTCGGACAGAACCAGGCCTCGTCTCACGTGTTGCTGACACGTCAGAAGACATGGTGCGCCCCAAGAGGCGGACCTCGTCTCGACTGTACCCGACTGATTCGTACAGCAACACACTCTGGAGACTTGGCTTATGCACCTAGATTACGAGCGGGCTCTCATCTAGCTAGATATCCATGCAAGTTCTGGAACGACGCTATCCACACTGAGTAGGGAACGTTGCTCAGTTACTATAGTGGCGCTGGTTTCGTCCGGTCAGGGCTCTTCTCGAAAGCAACTCGTAAAGCAACGGCGACGCTGATCGCTGGAGACTTGTAGGCTTGCAACATACAACGCGCACAATCTTGCATCGGGATCGCACGGTTCGTTCCTTTGCATAGCCATATTCGACCGACGGATGTCAAGAACCACGTCTGGCTTGCAGCCACGTGATCAAAGCATACATCTGCAGCTTCACTTCGCATGCCCATGCTCTGGACCCACCACCTGCTTACCTTGTGTACTTTTCCAGTCGGACAGACTAAGGACTGCCCAGCATCGTTCTGCTGGCGATCCTCTTCTCAACTGCCGTCATCGTAGTCATCTTCCGTACGGCAGACCGATGATCGAGTGGACAGCAGTATCTTCATCGAGCTTCGTACCCGGGGATGTAGGCAGGAGCCGTAACGGAGCCGCGATGGGTATAGGTGCCTATCATCGAGGGCGCAGGAAATGCTGCTCTACACAGGGTTAGACATGCTCAAGACGTACTCGCGCGTCGTACCCAAGGCACTTACCTGG